AGGATCACATCCCGACATCAGGTACGTCACAACAAGCTGGAGCTCGATATTTTGCAGCCTGCAAAATAGCTTTGGCTGATCTCTGCCAGTTCGCTTAAAGCCTGTAGGCCGCAAAAGCTCTCTCATCGGTGTTTCTGACCTGGGCTGATCAGCTATAGGGTCTGAGTCAGTTTCACACCAAAGTGAGTGCACCGCGGCAATCGCCCGCTATGTGCAGAGCCCGCTCGCACAGCGTTCAATTGAAATAGTAGTAGTAGTAGTAGTAGTAGTAGTAGTAGTAGTAGTAGTAGTAGTAGTAGTAGTAGTAGTAGTAGTAGTAGTAGTAGTAGTAGTAGTAGTAGTAGTAGTAGTAGTAGTAGTAGTAGTAGTAGTAGTACTAGCAGTAGTAGTAGTAGTAGTAGTAGTAGTAGTAGTAGTAGTAGTAGGTAGTAGTAGTAGTAGTAGTAGTAGGAGTAGGAGTAGGAGTAGGAGTAGGAGTAGGAGTAGTAGTAGTAGTAGTAGTAGTAGTAGTAGTAGTAGTAGTAGCGCAGCAGTGGCGTTGCGGCAGGCAGTAGCAGCATTAGTGGCAGCAGCAGCAGCAGCAGGAGCATGAGCTAACATCAACGTATTTGTGTTGCGAACCGGTGCGTAGAAGCAGCTGTAGTAGCGGTGAACGTGGATGTGCAGTTGCAGTAGCCGCAGCAACAAAGTGGGTCTGTGCTGGAGGATGGAATCAATAGCGTCCCAAGGAGCTGTAGCACAGTTTCTGTGAGGGGATGTGGGTTGAAACTGACTGTAGTGTCGGGATTTACGGTTGTCGGGCTTGTCAATTAAGTTAAGCAGTGAGGAACGAGCGCACAAACAATTTCTTTAAAGCGAGCTTCCCAAGGCACCGACCCAGATGTGCACTTCAAGTACATTCAGGCTCGGCGGTGGATGTTGCAGAATGGATGGCGTGCTCAAAAGCTAAAGTGCACGAACATGCAGTGCGGGGAGCAGCAGAAAAGGGGCCAGGTTCTCCAAAAACCAAAAACCCCCAAAACTTGCACTGCACTTTAAAACATCCCATAGAGTTGATGGTTTGCCAAGTTGTCCCGCAGTTTCAGCTTTCCTGGCCTACGAAGCCAAAGCCAGAACGCCCCGTGTCGACGGTGATACTTCTGAGTGCAAAAATTGTTTATTCTGAATCATTGAGGACATGGCATCGGAAGAAAGGCAAAACTTACACTGCCCGCCTTCATCCTACACTCTGCTCCAGGACCTTATGCCATAAACCTTCTACCATACTGGGATACTGGGACCCTGTACCTAGAACCTTCACTCAGTAGGATTCAGGCATCCGAGGAAACGGACCTCTGCTTTAGACATTTGCCTTCTACTCCCTAGCAACAGAGCACATTACACCCGAAAGATCACACAGGCGAGCTCAAGCTGAAAGGATTCAGGGCTCATCGACCCGGAAGGTCGCTCTGCGGCTCAGGATTGAGAGTTTCGGGTGTCGGTAGTCCGGAGCTGGAATGTCGAGGCCTGCTTCCCGGCCTACTGTATGAGTTTGCGCTGACACGACAGATCCGTCGAGCAGCAGCTGAAGTCGTGACCGGGGGCAGTGCTGACAATGGTGGCACCAGCAAAGCTGTGCGGATTCAGCTGAAGATTGTGCAGAAGATCCAAGCCCTTGGCGTTTCTTTCCTTTCATCATGGTTGGCGATGCGGCGATGGATCTGTCCATCACATGGGCAATCAGCTGTTTTTGGTATTTTTTGGTGACAGCACCCGTGCAGTGATCAGCTGCAGCAAATACAGCAAATTCAACTGTCTGACGGTGCTTTCGCTTTCACTTCGGCAATGGATTCCCTATGACGCTGGGTGAGCTCGCTTTGTGAGAAGCAACACCACGCCGCTGCGAAGGATTAGCTGCAAACCTCGCGGCAGATGCAAGCCAGTCCTGGCGCTTGTGCAGCCGGTAGGGTTTTTGTGTTGGGTTCATGTAAGGCAGGCTGTCTTGAAGCAGCCTGCTCATTGCCCAGATTGTTTTGCGGTCATTGCTTGTGGCTGGTTTTTTCTCATTAAATCCACGGCATGGGTGGTTTGTGTTTTGCTGATTAAACATGTCTCAGTATGCTTGCGTGCTCAACAACAGGCGTTCCGGTGGTGCTGCTTACCTGTAACACAAGCTGCGTACAAGATTTATATGCAGTGCAGTTTTCCCCTTGAAAGACTTCGATCCGCTCGACCAGTCCGCTTTCTCTCCGGTGTCGAATACAACTAAGTCAATTGAACGCTCACTCTATCCCGTCTGAGGCACCTTGGAGACCCATAGCACATCAAGCAGTTGATTGCTGTTCGACGATGCTCAACTTTGCAGTCTACTGATAACTGTGTATGCGTTGAACACACATCCCGTGCCGCCATTCTTCGGGCTCAAAGGGCCGTCTCACATACAGGAGACACTGAAGCGATTCCATAACCGCGATGCCCACCCTCCGATGTGTGACTTGTTACACTTTGGCTTGCGCCGCCGCCCTTGTGCGGGTCAGAGGCGGGGCTGCATTCTGCGAATTTGGATTTCAACTCCTTTACCGGGTATTCCTCATGTATTTACGGGGTCTGCAGTTGCCTTTTGACCATGGGTTTGTCCGGGCAGGAATACTTGCATTTTGCTTGACAGGAAACCTAAAACAATTGCGCCCTGAAGAGCTTGTTGCCAGGTTTTGGTTTCGACCATGTGTCAGGAGAAAATGCGAACTACAAGCCCGGAGCTGCTCAACGGAACAATTCTGAATCTCGGAACTGTGGGCTCAACCTGAACACCTAGGCGCTTGATACTGTTTCCTTTAACAAGCTATGTTTGGTGTGACCGCACCTAGCCACATGGATTTCTACATTGGACTGCTACTGTATGTGGGTCTGTGAGTATCCGCACGTTGGTCATTCGGAGCAAGGGGCATGAGGCTTCACAAGAACAAGCCCGCAAGCCTGTTGGGCAGATGCTTTTGGAAGTTGGTTTTGCAAATTTTGGGGCATCGGGTTTTTGAAGAGCTTTGTTGAACTTGGGCTAATGTGTTTTCTCGGTGGTGCGGCAGGTTTTTGGATGTCTTTTCTTTAGCTTTCCCTTTTCAATTCCGGAAATTGTAATTTTCCGTCGGTCCGCCGATCCTCTCTAGTGTCCCGGCTTGTTTGTCATCTCCAGTGAGAAACCCCAAGACTCTGTCCAACTCGAATGCAAGCGTTGGCTGGCGAGCCCTCAAGCATGAAAGGAGATTGAGACCTGTGTGAGTCGAAATTCGGAAGCTGGGCGCTTCATGTTGAATGCGAAAGTGCCGTTTCGACAGACCTTCAAGTGACGTATCCGAAGGGAAGCAAAAGCAGAACAAGCTTGGCCACGCGAGGTGGTGCTGATATCCAAGATGCGGACAGCCATTGCGCCATGCAACTGAGCACCAAGGCCTCTTGGATTGGGTGTGTAGGCTTCGAGCATAGAGTTTTGATACCTACCTTGCCATCGTCCCAAGACCCCAAGCTGGCATGCAGGGCTCTGCAAGGCTATGCCATGCACAACCGTAGAAAGGCATTTCGGGTAGTTGTCAGCCAAGGATCCTCCAAAAGTTGACCTTCCGCAGGCTGCGACGGCTGTCAGTTTTCCAGTTGCTAAGTTTCGGAGTACTTTTTTTTCTGCTGCTCCCGCAAACTTTGAGGTTCGCAGCCTCTTCGCCCGAATATCTTTAGAAAAGACCCGGAAGATGCTTGATATTTGTGCCGGATCTAGGCAGTTGAATGGATCCGGAGACTAAAATCCGGTACCAAACATTACACCCTGAACGGCTAAATGAGGGGGCGTGTTGAAGAGATGTGATGAACCGGAATCGCCAAATGAGGGGCGGGGTGTTTAACTGGAATCGCCCAATGGTGGGGCGTGTTTAAGATGTATGATGAACCGGAATCACCAAATGAGGGGTTTGTTTAAGATATGTGCCGAATGACGGGCCGTGCTTAAGATGTATGATGACCCCGACTCGCCAAGTGAGGGGTGTGTTTCAGATGTATGATGAGATGAATCGGAGTCGCCAAATGAGGGGGCACGTTTAAGTATCGCAACCATGGGCACGTTCAAGGTCAGATGTATGACAACGCGGAATCGCCAAATACGGGGTGTGTTCAAGACATATCATGAACCGGAATCGCCAAATGTGGCGGCGTGTTTAAGATATATGATGATCCGGAATGGCCAAATGAGGAGGCATGTTTAGGATATATGAAGACTCGGAATCGCCAAATGAGGGTGCCTGATCAAAATCTATGATAAGCCGGAATCGCCAAATGAGGCGGAGTGTTGAAGACTGTGATCAGCCGGGACGAAAAGTAGGCACTGCGTCAGGGTGGGATGCACGCGAAGTGAGCATCCTGTGTAGCTAATATGATGCGGGGACCAGATTCGCACCATGTGCTGTAAATAACAGGAGGCGGGGGAGTCTTGCAATCTGTGAAGAAAAGTGCGCATAAATTGAGTTTGAAGGAGAAAGCCATAAACAGATGAAGCAAAAGCCAAATCAATGTTAAACTAGTTCTCGGTCCGTTGTTCATGGACAGCTGGGGCAGTCAAGCCATGGGCTTGGGCACCTCGTGGGTTGAGTTCGCATGTGGCTTCGCAGAACGCCAAAGCTTTGAGCGATGATCCCAGCACATAAGGGCCAAGTCTTGGTGAAATGCCACGGGAGTTTTGGCCATGCAAAGCCCGAAACCACCGCCAGCTCCCGCCTCTTTGGCCCTGCACCGTACACGTGGCACACACTCCGCTGACCCAGATCAAAGTTTCGCAACTCATGACATCTCACATGACAGGCCTGGATATCGCACTCCACGAACGAATGTGTTCAGACGGAGAAAGAGAGGAGCCAATGGTGCCGCCCAAAAGTTTTAAAACTGGAGCAAGGTTGTGCAGGGTTTACGTCTTGTTATTGCGAACGAGTTCTGATGATGCCTGCATACCCTGCAGGACGCGCGCTGAAGCTTGGGACGCGACCATGGTTGGACGGATAGAGAAGTGGGCAAAGAAAGAAGGCAAACAGCCGTCAGGCCCAGGCTCCAGCTTGGAATCGACCGCCAACGTCGGCGTCTTCAAATCGAAACTGCCAAGCCCATCCGCGAAGCATAGAGACGAACTTGAATCATGTAGCTGAGGAGCAGATCAATTTCGCCCGAGGTCCGGCCGTTTCTTCGAGAGGTCTTCGACAAGCTTCAGATCCGCACATTCCTCGATGTGCCCTGTGGAGACATGACGTGGATGCCTCGTGTCAACCTGACTGGCATCGAGTACATGGGTGTCTGACTTGATCTTCAGCAGGCATCTCGATGTTTGCCATGTGTAGGAGAGCTATAGCAGGTCGTATCGAGTGTAGTGCGGGCCATGAAGGCCCAACCCAGGTGGCGACATTTCTCCATCTCTGGTGGCAAGCAACCTGCAGTCCTTCGCATCGGATGCCACGTTCGCCAACAGATTTGCCGTCTTTGACATCACTTGCATGGTCCCGCCCAAAGTAGACATGATCCATACCCGCGATGTCTTCATTCACCTTGATTCGAACTTGTCCATGCAGGCCTTGCGTAACTTCGAGAGGAGTGGCTCCAAATATGTTGCGATCCCGTATTGGCCGTCATTGGATGGATCTTCGAACGAGTACCACCCGAAAGGACAGGCATATGACAATTATCATCGTTACAATCTGGAGCTTCCTCCTTATTGTTTGCCATCACCGCTGCACTCTTCGCAGAACCTCGGAACTGACGGGCTGAATCTGCTCGGAGTGTGGGAATTGCCCGCCTTGGGTCGCAGCACCCGCCCCGAGTGCAGCAAGCCACAGTAAGGTTGGCCCGGGCATTGCGCATGCTCGGGTTTTTAATTGTTTAGAATGGCTCGCAGACTATGCCGTTTAAACGGCGAAGATTTTGCACTGAGAGCATGAACATTTCATTCGGGAGACCTTCGACTTCCGGCCAAAATCCAAACTTGCGCAACGAATCCAAAGACTTCAGTTGGGTTCCTTTCCGCGCCATCCCGACCATTTTCTCTTCTTTTTTGATGGTTGAAGTGTTTTCATCGTTCTTCGAGCTGTGAGGCCCTGAACCAGCCCCAAAAAGACACTGGAAGACCGCATCCTGAGTGTAAGCTGAGTTCACGCACAAGCTGCAATCCAGGCCTTACAGGTGCAAGCTCGTTTTGGGTTTTGTGTGTTTTTGAGTGATTCACCGTTTTACATGCTTGTGCTGTCTCACTCAGCCAACTTCTAGTGACTAGTGTTATCGCTCCAGTGGCTTCTCTTGCCACTGCCATGCGCTCCTCCGTGGGTGTGCACCCTGTCATTTTTGGTGAACTACTGCTATATCTTCTATCTGATGACTGTCGTGCACCTCATTCCTGGTTGTCTTGCGACTTTGAATCTTCTTGTTATTGCTTTTAACCATCCAGCTGCTCTTCGCCGCTTCGTCCTGAAGTTCCACCCTCGCTATTCTTCTTCAAATTCCGGGGTTGCATTGCCAAACCGCAGGCTGCCAGCCGCGTCGGCAACATGCAGGAGGCAGCTTCTTGGGTTTCGACCGTGCGGTCGCTTGGACCCAGCAGAACAAGGTAAGTTTTCGCTTCTCCGGTGTTTCGACATCATCAGTATGAGGGCATTTGCCACACCTGTGTCCTAGCTCTGTGCTTCAAGCTTCGTTAATCTCTCACTCACCTTTCCTTTCATGAATGGCATCTTATGGGTGTTGTTGTTCACTAAAACTAGATCATGAACCCTACTAACTTCACGAGGGCAGCAGACCCCGCTAAAAGTGTGTTATCCTTGATGTTTTTGTTTTGCCTGTTCACCTTAATGGCTTAAAATGCACAAGACAATGACTGGATCACTGTTTGCCAAACTCTGCACTGAAGAACATCCTCAACCGAGAACCCTTGACAAGATTTTCTCCGCAGGTCGAACGCGTGTGTCGCGAGTCGCAGGTGTACGACCCTGCCTGCACCTTAAGCCTTTACAACCTTTTTCCACATCATTGATCACCCCATGGGACTGGGAGTTATTGAAGTAAGCCGCCAGGACGTTCATAACATGTTGATAGTTTCCCTTTTTTTTGCGACCAGGATTCAGGAATCTAGGCATTCCGGAGGACTCAGATGGATTGTGGCCGGCCTCGATCTGTCAATGCTGCATGTTTGATCACAAAACCGGGGGCAACAACTTCCAGCTTGCATCAACAGGTTCCAGCTCGAATCAAGAAGTACACCAAGTTCTCTGGAAGTTTTGCGCGAGTAGTAAGTTTTGCAAGAGTAGTAGTGAACGTCTTCAGCGCTACACTTGACGCGGCTGCCAGTACAGTAGCTGAAACAAGGAGAAGCGGCCATAGTCCCAAAAACGAAAGGAACAGTGACGACCTTGGTTGCCTCTCTTCACTATGTTATGACGCAGCCAAACAAACCCTACACCCCGTCACCGTAATCCGCAAATCCCTGAGTCCAAGTCTTGACACCAACTCCCTACCGCAGAGACTGGTAGCGTCGGCAGCAAGCGGCGGGGTAGTTGCCAGTACTGGGCCTTATCTGAAATGAGTTGCGCACTAAGGTAGCGACAAGTGTGCCTTCCATTCGAATATGCCGCAACCTTTAAGTTGGCAGACATTTGCTCTCTGCGACCCAGGCCACCGTCAAAAACTTCTTGAAAGAGGCGAAGCTGCTCGGGGCCAAGCTTTCCAAAGATAGGCGTCTATGTCTAATCCTACCTCAGCTCAGCTCTATCAGCCGTTGCAATGTCTTTCAAGGAATAGAGATTCAACTCATTTCTGGAATTTTGTCCTTGCATGAACTCAATGGATGCACTCTCCATCCTTCCGCATGCTTCCAGGACAATCGGTTTCGTTCGCATGCAGCCATGAAGCTTCGAGTTTGTCCGAGGCCTGACCCACGTCCTCTGATCTATGTCTGCGACCTCCATGATTTCGTGGAGGCTTCGCTTCCTTTGCTTTGGAATGTCAAAGTTTGGGCCTGCTTTCGGGTTGAATGGACTGTTTCGAGGTAATCTAGTCTTGAGGCTGCCCTGAGGGCTCCCAAGGCCGGCAGCCCCGAGTTAAAACCGTCGAGCGAATGAATGAAAGCTACGAAGCCAAAACATGTTAAAGACAAGCATAACATGCTAGGGCAAACAGTCCCAGCAGAAGCAACGAAGCTATAAAGTAGAGCAGAGCAGACACACCCACCAGCATCAGCATCAGTATCACATCTTGCCTTGTATTGTCTCAACATGCAGCTAAGACTTGTGGGCATCGTGGCTGCAAGCAAGGTAAATGTCGCATCCCGAACATTCCAACCTCTTTGCTCAGATCTACGAGACAGCCCGAACACTGACCTAGATCTTGTATCGCTCATCTAATACTGAGATCTTCTGATACAGTGCCGTTTGATAACCTGTCGGTCCTTACAGCATTCTATTCAAACTATTCTTGGAACAGCTCCCCTCATCAGATGGGACGAACTGTCCACATGAATGCCTGCACTACTTTTTGCATTCCTTCCTTCCATCCTTCCTCCCTCGCTCGCTCGCGAAACTGCTACTGCTACTGCTAGTACGACGACCACTACTACTACGACGACGACTACTACTACTACTACTACTGCCGTTTTCGATTTTGCTGCCCATCGTCTCGTGTGCGGTTCGGGCAGTGGGCTTGCAGGGACCACGGAGCTTGAACCACAGGGCTTTTAGCTCCAAAGCGCCAAATCTTGCTTGAGCACCTTTGTGTCATGTTTTGTCCGTGTATGTGTCATTATGTGTCTAAGTTCGTCTGTCATTGTCTCCATTGGTCTTCATTCATCAGTTGTTTTTTGCGCTATTGCATGTGCCCCACTTTGCCTGCATGACACTAGTAAATTGTTTAATTGTCTTCATTGATATTTATCCTGTTGTTCGCCGGCCAGTTCGTGTTCTTGGGCACAACCCCAATCGGCGTACCCCAGTCCCAATCCTGACCGGTCTCAGCCCGGAATTCCGTAACTAAGCGCATACGCAAATCCAAGAAAATAAGCCATCCCAGAGTCATATGGCTTGAATCAACAAAGGTTTCGGCGAAAAGTGAAGTGCATATGCACACGGTTGTGAACCTCGGCTCCGTGAAATCTGATCGAGTCTTATTGGATCTTATTTACTCTTGTTTGCAATTTGCAATAGCTCACAAGACATGGCTACAATTGTGGCATGATCTGGAGACTCCGTGTTCAGTCTTAATGAATCTTTTTGAATCTCCGTCTCCTGCCACAATTTTGTCATTTGTTGTCTTAACTTGTGCGTTTTTGTTCAAGACTGTTTCCCCTTGTCCTAACCTGTCATTAAGGAGGTTTTGTTCCCTGCGGTTTGAGGTGTCGCAGATCCCTAGTGACTGAAGGGTTTGCCAGCCATCCTATCGGTTTGCCAGTTGTCCCATTGGGGATTTGGGTTTGCTGTCCAAGTCATCATCTCGCATTAGGGTGTACGGTTTGTGGTAATCGAACAAAAACATGAGCATGTAGGGTCAAGAATTCATGCCGTCCGTGCGCATTCCGAAACTTTCTCAGTACCTGCATTTGCCACATGTTTGAGATTTTCGCTAAGCAGAGCGAGTACAACAACAATGCTCGCCACGACGTGCATTGACCCTAAAGCAATATTGGCACTCAGCACACATGTTTGTTTACGTTTGTCACGACAAACACTGGCGGTAACCACGGATCAATAGTTGACATTGGTTGGTGATTATGAGCACAACCGCCGGGCAAGCGATCGTAAGAATAGTGTAGGGGGCGCTAGTGGCAGCGCCAAGGCTACACGAGAGTCTAACAGACACAAGTCTGAGCCATAGCAATGTGTGCAGCCAGCACGGATGTTTTTAAGAAATCACTGATATGATAGTGGTTGTGATCATGATCGTGTTGGGTAGCAATAGTGGCAGATGGTAACTGTTCTGGAAAGACATCGTTTCTCAAACCAGGTGGCTTGGATCCTACCGGTAATAATCATCCATTCGGTGGTTCGGTGCGTCAAAACTTTACACGATGCTGCCAGGAGCTGACCGATTACCTCTACAAAAACTCGCTCATGAAGTACATCGAGGTCGGAAAGTTTTAAACCATTTGCGTCAACCAGGATCCAAGCTGCAGGTTGGCGCTTTACGAACCGCCGCTGCGCAACACCCCCAGTAAAACTCGTAAGCCTTCGGCCGTAAATAAACCCTAAGGCCGCATCTTTCATCCGCGCATTCCGGTAGAGGCACTAGACAAGAGTCTCTGAACTCTAAAGCCACAAAGCCCGCGTGAAGCCACGAGTCCAAAACCCGCAAACCCCAAGCTTTGATCCTCGAGTCCGAAGGCTAATGCTGAATCCCACCAAAGCCGGCCAGTCTGTAGCTCCGATGGACCGGGGGATTGGAGCAGCGACACAGGTCTATGTCGTGAAGGTCAACCCACTAAAGTGCCCGCAGGCAGCGAACTTTCTGGCTATGGGTTGTCCTTGATGTTCGGATGCTTCGGGCACTGGGCTTTCAGTTGAAGGCTCTGGGTTGAGATCTCAGTGGACCAGGATTGAGGTTTCCAAGATTGCAACTGAGCTTGAACTTCGTTTGCGGCTGTCTAGGCTGTGAGTTGACGATGGAACGCAAAGCCGATGCTGAAAGGGACGCGAGGGAGAGACAGTGGCGACGGTAGGCCCAGCAGTAGCAGTAATCGCAGCAGCAGGTGTAGTTGCAGCTGCAGCAAGTGCTGTAGCAGTCGCGGCAGCAGTAGCAGGTGCAGGAGCAGGAGTGGGAAGATTCCAACGCTCTTGTGGCGATCGTGCTCAGTCTCAGCACAATG